ACAATTATTCATTATCTCCTTCCTTAAGTGTACTGTCAAAATTTGTCGCATTGATTTAATCATAATCTCCTTTCCATTTAACATTTTAGTAAATACTGCATAATAGACCCGCCATAGAATGGAACGAACAAGTTCCCTATTCTTTTCTTTATTATCTACTAATAACGGACTTTGAAGTCTGTAGACGAGGGTCACTGATTTTCGTGGAAGTGCGGAAAGAACGGTGACAGTAGTAGCACTTCTCCCCGCATTACTTTAGTGGACAATTGAAAAGACTTGACCAAAAAGAATTCGATGCATGGAAGGACGAAATACACAAAGGTACCTATACAGGGTGTCCTATCACACTTTGAATTCGTTAGAATACAAGTAGAAAGATTACTACGAGCAATATTAGTTGTTTAAAATGATGCAACATTCAAATTTTCTTAATCTCCATAAATTCATTTTGCTTTGCATTTTGTAAATGTTATTTTTGAAAAAACTCAGCTTAGCCATCCACCTTAGCTATTATAGATTATATTACTAGTGACCCGCCCCAGCTTCGCACGGGTGCAATGCTGATACTAAATATATTTTTGTTTTGTTTAGATTATTATCGAAAAGGGGAAATCTTCAAAAGATACCTCCTGAACATACTAAATATACTACAGAATGTCTTTATATACAACATTCACAGTGTTTTTGTCATTAGACAATACAAACCGCCCCCCCGGCCGGTACCGCTGCAACCGCTATGTCCCTGCATTTTAAATCTGTAATATCTTCTATTTTATTCATTCAGTGTCTCTGTGATTTACAATTTTATCGTTCGAGTCTCTCATACACAGATTGCGAGAGATCCATAAAAACACCTAGGCAATAACTGAGGGACTGTGAAAGACTGTTAGAGACGCTCTCAGAGACGCTGAAAGACTCTGAAAGGACTCCGAGAGACTGAAAATTTTGTCTAGGGACAGAAAACTGATTCTCATCAAAGCAGAGTTTCAGCAATACTAAGAAAACAATTCTCTTTCTTTAACTTATAAAACTTAAAAATTGATGATATCCACTATTTCAAAAGCTAGAGCCAATTTGGAAAAACTAGTCTAGTTTTATTTTTTAATTCGACAGACCTGAATAACCCTAAATTCATTTGCAAATACTTGGCAATAAATTTTTTTTAAAACTATTGGGTGGTGTATTGAACGGTTCAACTATACAATGGAGAGAGACACCCTGTACATTGCTATTGGCGCACTGTATCCGTCAGTACGTCCGCCTGTCCGTCGTGGCTTAAGTTATTAAACGAGATGTGAAGTGGCCGATTGTCGCCGCTAGTGCCAAGCTGCGGTCAAGTCCACGACAACCTCTGTCTGTTCACACCCCTTTGGCAAACGTACAATGCAACGCGAGCAGCAACTGAACAGAAACAGAGCCGACTGTACGAACATAGTACTTACACAAAGGGAAATTTAGACGATTACCGGTTCCTGCAGTTAAGACTCTCGCGTGTATACGTATGAAAGGAGATCAAGTGGCGAAATATGTGTTGCTCGAGGACGCTTTTAATAATGCAGATCCTTGTACTTGTTCGAGGGTGTGTCAGAACCACTCGACCTCCTCTTTCCGAAATGTTGTACGAGTTTCCGGCATCCTTTATTGCGCCCTCTCGCTAAAGCCATTTGTACACCCTGTGAAACGGGTGCCACGTATTTCCCGAATTTGCATTTATATCTTCTACGTTTCGTTTCCAGCCACCGCTGTCACTTCTATTCTACTTTGTAAACTATTGGTTTTACACATTAGAATAGCGTTTGCTTCTACATGGTATCTAAAATTAATTGATAAATCGGAACAAAAATTACTAAACTGGTATCTGTTTTGTACCAATTAAACCTCTATAAAGTCCCTCTCATGTCAGTAATTATATTAATAAGTAAACATCGAAAGTTCTTTTTTTACATTGTGGCTTTTAAACGTATGGTTGGTCATCGATTCACAAACCCAGACTCTTAGACATGATACGAGACCAAACATTTTTTAGAACATTGATTGAAATATATGAAAATGCTCTAATTTAGTATCGGAACCTAGCTCCACACTGAAACATAAGAATCCTCCAACATTTCAGAACGTTCTCTATACATCGGGTCCCGTTCACTTTAGAACATTCTGCCTGAGAGCAATGCTAGATATTCGATAACATTCTGGATAAGACCGCTCTAAAAATATTCAAAAACATTCTGGTAGGTAGGTTCTCTCTTATTCTACACGGGTGGTTGTGTACGGTGATCAATCCACAAACCCAACCAAATACACACCAGAATGGACAAATCATGAACATAATAGGAAATTCCAGACAGTTTTTAGAACACTTTGACTGAATTAATGTCAGAAACTTCTCATACATAATGGTTCTCGAACATTTCAGAATATTCTCGACCATTCTACTACTACGTTTTCGCTTATTTTAAGTGAATCGCAGTCCCACATATCTATCAAACTGAAGAAATGTCAAACACTATAAGAGATTTCCAAACTAGTCGAAATATAAGAAAATGCCGTAATATATTCTCAGAGGTCCTCCCTATCACTCATATATAATTGTTCTCGAATTTTCCAATCCAGTTCGCTTTGGAACATTCTGCCTGAGCACAATCCTAGAACATTCTTTCTGACAACACTAAAAACATTCCAGCACGTTCTCACTTATTCTAATGTGGTATTTAATGACCGATAGTCTAGCAAATTCTTCGTTAGAACAATCTTAGAGACGATCCAGAACACTCTAGTAGCGAAAATTACCGGGAGATCCCCCACACTACCACATCTACCAATATGCATTCTTACATATAAAATGTTTGGTAAATGTCTAGATGATCGAAAGAGGGGATCGAAACAGGACGTCTCCCCACACCACTGTACCATAAAAACTTCGTGGCGGTCTCAGCCCCATAAAAAGTTATAGGGGTTGAAAGTTGATTATTTTGTCAATTTTCATACACTGTAATCCAAATAAAATTCAATAAAAAAATTATTTTCAAGCGGGTGGAGGTGGGGGATCGAAAGAGGGTGGACACTTGAACAAAACCCGAAAACCTAACCTAACCTACCCTATTGATAAAGATATTTAAATAATGTTTTATATAACTTTCTCAATATTTTTATGTATTTTTCATTAGTTTTACCTTTGAATATTGTTTAAGAATGACTATATAAATATTTACATGCCTAGAAATGTATAAAAATTGGCATATTTATTAACTTTGAACCCCCATAACTTTTTATGGGGGTGAGACCGCCACGAACTTTTTATGGTACAGTGGTGGGGGAGACCTTCTCTTTCGATCCCCCCTAGATCTTTACCAAATTTTTATATATTGATTGCAGAGTAGTTTTATGAAATTCTAACTTTTCGAGTTTATTAAACATATAGTTTTTAATTTATATATGAAAATCAAATTCGCGTATCTCGACATTCTTTAACTGATTTAATTTTTTCTGTTAGGGTAGAATCATAAAATTTTTCTAATTTGCTATGATTTAATTATCCAGTTTAATTGGTCGTTGTCACACTATGCAATATTTGCATAAATAAAATAGTGCACCTTCCACCGTGTCATTTTCCATTATCGATCCTTGCATTATTAAATTTAAATTTTATATCTTATCGGATATTTAGTCTGTGACAGCCCGCCTACAATGGCGACAGGCTACATTATTATAACCATTAAGTAGTGAAGACGGTATTAGTTCTTCTTTAATAATGCACAAACTAATATCCTTTGAGCCGTGACTCGCAGCATTATTAAGACCGTCTTATATACTTGAGTGGCTACCTTTAATAAATATTTAAAGGGTTATAAGCTCACCTGCTCGCCGACTGAATGGGGGAAAGGATTTGAGTTTCTCAATAGGTAAGAGGGTGTCTAACGACCGAAATAATGTGACACCCAACCGGGGGCAACATCGAGATGATACTCGTTAATGGCGAATTGTGGTGTAGATAATAAATGAAGAGGTTATTTTGTTAAAAATATGATAATGTAGCCCCTTTTTTATGCAGGTATATATTTAGGTAAATAACCGTGACATAGATAACGATAAAAAAATCTAAAGCCAGTTTTAGCGTTTAAAGTGACATCGTTAAATACCATTTCAGTTTTATTTTGTGTCAATGTTTTAGGTGTATTATTTAATTAATCCTAACTAGGGTTTATACAAAAACCGACATTTTAGAAAACCGGTTTTCAAATAGTAATTTTTCCAGAAAACCGGTTTTAACCGGTTTCGAATTTTTATAAAAAAATTTTTTGCTCGAATATTCAGTAATTCGAATAAAAAATTTTAACAGAAAATTTAAAGTGATTAAAAGCAGTTTTTGACTGAAATTATTTACTGAATACTGAATTTATGAACTGTACATAAAGAAACCAGAAGACAAACTGATATAAAATCTAAATTAATTCATCCAATAGACAAAACACACCAAACCGCTTGTGACCAATATTGGAACCAAAACGCTTGCAACAGTGTTTTCATCAATCTGGTACATTTGGCTACATTTGTCATTTTCAAATTTTTTGTGTTATTCTTACATTGAAAACCAATATTTTCTTCTTACATTGAAAACAAATATTTTCTACTAAAAAACCGGTTTTCGAATTTCATAATTTTCTCCAAAAAACCGGCTTTTAAAACCGGTTCTTAAAAACCGACAAACCCTAATCCTAACTAACGTTATAAATGCGAAGGTGAATTTGATTGTCCGTTTGTTACGATTTCACGCTTTAACTACTCAACTAATCATGAGGAAATTTCGTACACTCACTGTCAGGGGCACAGAAAAGGACATAGGGTACCTTTTATCCATTAAATATATGAAGCCCTATGACATTGTTAGTTACTTAATAGTGGATTTAATATGCAATATTAATTTGAAATCATTTTTTCGATATTTTATTTACCCACTACAAACTACCTCAAATGAATGAGGGAAAAATTGTTGCTGTTGTGACACCCCCCGCCGGGAATCGAACCCGAGACCTTTGGCTTTATACACCAATGTTCTCCCACTAAACTACGAGAGGTGACAACAGCAACCACGACCAACAGCAACAATTTTTCCCTCATTAAATTAAGGTAGTTTGTGGTGGGTAAATAAAAAATCGAAAAAATGATTTCAAATTAATATTACCTTTTATCCAGAAAAAAGTACTGTTCCCGAGGGACAGAAAAATTTTTGGCACGTATTTAGGACATCAACGTGAACAAAGCCGCGCTAGGTATGCATATAAAAATAAAAATCATCGTGACAAATATATTTCACTGTTCGCGTTAAGTAACATCCTCAGTGGTTGTTTTTTTCTTCCAAATTTCTTCATCAAATTATTGCTGCACTTATCGAATTATACAAAAATTATATTAAAAATCATACACATAAAGTCTTTAAATACCTAAAACAACTCATTGAAACTGTAAAACTCCTGCAAGTAAATAAATAAAAAGCAAACGGAAGACAGCGCCTTTTATAAAATCGTATTTATATCACACTATGTGTTTTGTACTTATTGAATCATTCATTTTTGTAACACGTAAAAGTGAATATTTTTGACAATATCCATCACAAAAACAGGCGCCTACGACTTTTGTTGTAAACGATATTCATTTTTCTTCATCTCAGTTATTTAATTTTAGAACTGACATCAAGTGGCATATTGCGAATATGTATTACATTATATCAGAAGCGTTATTTTTTGAAAATATAATATAAGGCTTGACCCTTTTATCATATAAAATAAAATAGGTTCATAACTTCTTCTTTGTGAACCGTTCGCCCGATAAACTGACATATTCTAAGAAAAAAAAGAGAGTACACCTTGTCTTCAACCTCATGTCAGGTGTCCTAAATCAAATCGATGTCTAAATTACCTTTTTACAATTTTTTATCTCTATTTTCTAGCTAAATTTTATTCCAATATGGTTTCCCATAACCACAATATTCAATATTCTTTTCTCGAACAGTAAAGTCAAGTTACTTATCAATAACTAGCTTTTCCCCGCGGCTTCGCTCACAGAAATTAATGTTGTTTCTCCATAAAACCTTTTAACTCCCAATTCACCCTTACAACGTTTTAATTTTATGTAATGTCGCCATCTTAGATTTCAAATCCAACGTAGTAACAACATTTCATTCTTAAGGGTTGATTTTTAAAAATTGCTAAACGTATTTGCTTAATTTCAATAATGAGCAATCTTCGTGTACAAATAAAATATACCTCATGGAAACGTTGCAACCTGTTTTCATTTGATTAATAATATCAAACAGTATATACCTATAGCAAGTTTCAAGTAAATTCAACCACAAATAAAGTATGTACCAAACAAAAATTGCAACACCTTTCCCTTTTTTAAAATGTCGAAATAGATCTTTCAGAAATTAAATGAGAGACCATTAAGACCAAGTTTCAAGTAAATCTGACCACAAATAATATATGTTCCTTTTAAACATTGAAACTTCTCCGCACCACCCCTCCCCTCCAACAGAGATTTTTTAACCAGTTTCAAGTAAATCGGACCAAAAACAAACATACAATCTTTGCAAACCCCTTTCAGCTTCCTAAAGAGGTAGAATTTTGTGAAATGTTGAAATAGGTATGTATGTCACTAATTTTATATGAAAAAGCATTAAAGCCAAATTTCAGGTAAATCTGGCTATAAATAAAACACCATAAGTACTTAACCATAGACAGCATTATGTTTAGCTGTCAGTTGCGTTTTGTTATACCATTTTTAACAAATGAACGGCTAGATGATTTGATTTATAAATTTTTCGTTTTGCTGTCATTTGCGTATTGTCATTCCATGTCAGTTGCGTTTACATATACCACGTTTTTCTCGTGGAACGTGATAAAAAGTATCCTATGTGCTTCTCCTGGTTGTAAGCTACCTCCTTACCAATTTTCAGCCAAATCGGTTCAGCCGTTCTTCAGTTATAAATGGTGTAACTAACACGACTTTCTTTTATATATACAGATTATAGCTTTAATTTTGGTTAATTTTGTTCATCAATGTGATAAGAACTGTAAGAGTTGTTTATGTAACTGTCTATTGTCTAATATTGTTAAAACAAATATTAATAGCTAGAAACATTTAATTTTTCGTGATTGCCTGAGGCAAAAAAGGACGATAAAATTGCAAGTATCCTTATCACTAAGTAGTTAATATAACAAGAATTTTGAACTCATTTTACTTATTCAGCTGCTATTGCTTGCTTTGAAATGGAACATGAATAATAATACTTTGTACTTCTTGCTGAAAAAGCGATTTCTTTGACAAAAGGTTTGCGTGCGTGCAGAAGCAATATCGGTCTTACAAAGTAAATCACGCACTCTCTTGTGATACGACATTTTATTACGTACAAATGTAGTATTATTGAAATATTTCTGACGAATATCATGTTGCATGCAAGTGTCAAATTCCGAATGAGAAAGAAAATGTTGTGGGGTAAGCGATACCATCGCATGACAAGTTCATTATCTTGTTCTCTTGTTCTTTTTTTTTTTATTTCTTTTTGCTCAAAGACCTCATGGACTTTGATTTGATTTGCACGAAAACAATGTCTACTTTTTTAAATAGCAAATTATGACTGAAAAGAACAACAGTTACATTTTACTTCTTTTTTAATGCAGACTGAATTTTGAAAGTTATTATAAATCTTAATTGATAGCGATAATATAGATAAAAAAAATAAGTTCCATTTAAACGAAGGGCAATATGAAATAAGTTTTCAATTGTATTATTTTTCGTGAATATGTTTCAGTTATCAGTTACGACAGGGGCTGTACGAGTAACTTACTTAATGCGCCGTACCATGAGTTCAATTTGAGGGAACCGTTGTCGACAGCGGAAACATCTCCTTTTTTTTTGTTTAAATTTAACTTTTGATTCAGTATTTTTGTTTTTATTCCGAAACTACTATTCATTTGCGATAATTACATAATGTTCCCTTTAATGGTTAAGACTGGTAATTATGCTATATCATCAACATCATAAGGTCGTCAGACCTAAAACTGGTTAGACATGCACCTGCACTGTTTCTTATCCTGAGCTAATCTTCGCATTTCCCTAAAACTAGAACATCCCACATCCTTAACTATTTGCGAACAGTAATCTAATCTAGGTCTACCTCTACTCCTCATAACTCCCGTTTCTGCCTGTAATATATGTCTCTGACTCGACCTTCATGCCTGACAAGGTGTCCTACCAACCTATCTCGCCTATTTTTTATTGACTTCCACAGAGCCATCTGTTCTCCTATTCTTTCTAATATCTCTTCATTTCTAATCTTCGTATCGACATCATTCGCCTGTAACACCTTATTTCGAACCTTCCAACCTTTTTTTTTTGCAGCACTCACCGTCCATGTTTCGCACCCGTGCAGCGCCGCCCTCCAAACATACACCTTTAACAATCTTTTTCGAATTTCTAAATTAACCGTTCTGTATTTGCTATATCAACCAGTCATTAAATTTTCGGTAGATAGAAATCTACCTATACCTTATTTAGTGTTATTTTTCCCTCTATTGTCCACAGAATTATCCTCACGTTAGTGCTGCAAAGCTCGCCTAAAATATTACCAAAGCCCAATTTGCACCTTGGTTAGTGTATGCCAACTATCTACAATTAATTGGCAATATTAAAACGAATTATTATTATCGGATTTGGTTCGGGAGAGCGGTCAACAAGGGAGCAGGGCGTTGCTCGAGAGCGCATACCTGAATTCGTATTCCGTATCTGTGATCGTGTTTTATGAGACCGATATAATTTTTCAATGAGCACACAAAAGGCCTATATCTGATTATTCGTTGGAAGTAGCGTACATGGATATTGTATGTGCATGCATGGCGAACGTACCAAGGTCGGTGAGGGAGAGAGAACGTGGTCGCACCACCGCGGCCAACCCTACTGGTCAGCGCGGCGTAACTAATAACAAACGGTCGGTTTGGACCGGTCATTATTTATACCTTATACATGCATGGGAAATACGTATAGGCATTTCAGAAACTCATGGGTTGCGCTTTGCGCATTGACAGAACAACCAGCTTCATTGATTTCTACATTTTAACTGTTGAGGAGGTTCGGGAGTTACACTGTTGATGCAATTAGTTTTGCACAAAAGAAATAAGTATTAGGTAATTAGGATAAGTAGGGACAGAACGAATGTAAGGATAGGAGACGGAAAATTAGAAAAAAATGGCACATTTTACGTATCTAGAAAGTCGGGACGGAAGGAGTAGTAGGGATATAAAGCAGAAGATAGCGCAGAGTCGAGTCGCCTTCAATAAAAAGAAGCACTTGTATGCTCACGAACGATTAATTTTAAAATTCGAAAAAGATTGTTAATGTTGTATGTTTGGAGCGCAGCGCTGCACGGGTGCGAAACATGGACGGTGGGCGCGGCGGAAGAAAAGTTAGAAGCGTTCGAAATGTGGTGTTATAGGCGGATGATGAGGATATCGTGGGTAGAAAAGGTTAGAAATGAAGAGGTATTGGAAAGAATAGTAGAACAGAGGACTCTATGGAAGTCAATAAGAAATAAGCGAGATAGAAAAAGTGGAAGTGCGTGTTCAACCAGTCTTAGGACTGCCGACCTTATGAAGTAGGTAACTACTTGTACGAGACACATCTGCAAATTTGATTTGATGGAGCTGTTGAACGTATTTGATAAGGTCATACAAAATGTTGCAAAGGATGTACCCTGTACCATTGGATATTTTTGGAGTTAAAAAGTGAAAAAGTTTCAGCAAAATTTTATTAAGTGCTGTTAAAAATTAGCAGTGAAATATATTATACCCTTTAACATAATAAACTTAGTCTGCTTATGATGCCCTTAATTAATAATAATGGTTTAGTGATTTATGTGTCATGTTTTTGAGAATAGAAGTTGGCAACGTTCCTCTGTAATTCTTATGCATCTAGTGTCGTCAGCTATTCTCGGGTAGGTAGAGGGTTGACAAGATGAAAACGGTAACTGATAAATAACGAGCATTCATGCATTATCCTGGTATTCAATTTGAATTCTTTTGTT